TATACCCTGTCAGTTCAGTAATGTGCTAAGCTTTTAGCCTTTTCTGGAATTTTTGACTTCAACAATCTTTTACAAAGTCTATAACATAAAAATATATTTTCTTAGATTAATTTATATTTCTGTCAAAGTTTGCTTTTAAAATTTAGAATTAGTGACCTTGGCTTCAAACTATAGTTTAATACTCCTATATTTCAAATAAGAAAAACATAGCATTTATTCAAAAATTTTTTTTGAAATATAAATTTCAGTGGTCTAAATTCAATCACTCTTTAAGGGGAAAATCAGTAATTATTCAAAGGAGCTGCTTGTATTTTTCTATTCAAACATTTACTGTTAAATTCATTTTGAAATAAATCAATAACTACATTATCACAATAAGCATATTTAATGAATATTTCCTTTTAAAAATTTTAATCATAAAATTAATCTCTTTTAAAATATAAAAGTAAAACTTGCTCAGAATAAAAAAATGAAACAAAAAAATAAAGAGAAAAATTGAAAATGAAAAGTTAAACAGGAAACGTCACGGTATCTTGCATAAACTTTCAGGAACATTATTCCGTGTCCACATATGTCCCTAGATGCATACATATACATGTGTAAGTGTACTTCTTAAATAAATAACGTCATTTTTGTGCTTTTATCCGATAACTCTTAGACACCATTCCATATCGATGAACTCACATGCACACACATATAACTTGTTCTTTTTAATAGGTACATAAACTTCCTTAATATGAATATACCATTTTTAATCAAATAGTTCCCCACTGGTAGATGTTTAGGTGGTTTGAAGTTTTTGTGTTATTACAAACTGCTGTTATGAGCATCCTTGTACATGTACTTTGTGAACAACTCTACTGTAAATTCCTACAAATGAAATTTAAGGTTGAAGACTGGTATACATATTAAATTTAGGAAAATATTACTAAGCTGCCATCTAAACAGATTACTCCAATTTACATCTTCACCAATATCTAAATTTAATATTATCAATGCATTGTCAAGCAATTATAATCTGCCAACCTGATATGTTGAAAAATGGTATCTTGTTTTAATAAGCATTTTTTAATTTTCACAAATATTTAAAATGACTATCAAAAAAAGCACCAACCCCTATAAGTCACTCAAACAGAAGCATATTTAAAATTGTCATGCAATTTTCATGTGTTTGAGGTCTTTAAAACCTTAAACATGAATTTCTTGCCATACTTGATATTCTGCTTATACTACAAAAATATCAAATTATTTCTCATAAGTAGCTAGATGGCATTATTCTTCTTAAAAATAATTATGCCCTACATTAATATAGTACTTTTATTTTCTTACTACTATCTATGAACTATAGGTACCCACTAAAATCCTGTTAAAATGTCCTTGTCACCAAGTTTGCCAAATGCTTATGTTGGTATAGCAAGATCTTGCAGTATTTAAAGACCGGGAATTGAGAGCAGTAGATGTGAAGGTATTAAAAAAGTTTATTACCCAAATTACAGGAAACAAATTATACCCTATTCTAGATAACCATCTATAATGCTTCTGTGTACATTTATGGGGGAAAAAATTCTAATCCTGCAATCAATCAGCTTGACAAACATATCTGTCAAAAATGGAGAAAAATCTAAAATGAAATAAGAAGAATCAAAAAGTCAATGACCAGAATACAAAAATTAAGCCACAGTTTATGAAAAAGGAAGCAAATGATTGAGAAACGAAAAAACTCTAACTCAACTTTCAAAGTATGCAATTCATATCAGAGTAAAGTATCAGTTTACTTCATTTTTAATTTAGTTCCATTATAATTGTAACAACCTCTAAGATAAAATCCTCAAATATTCTAGTGTGATGAAAAGTGCTACATAAGGGGGTTCTCTCCTGAGGTTTACAAAGCACTTGGTTATATAGAAATTTACTTTACATATTTGTTTAAAAATAATATTAGTCATAAAGTGATTGCCTGTCATTGGAACAATCAGAAAACATTTCATTAAAATGCTATACTGAATTCTTTTAATTATGTCTGTTATTGCCATAAATTATACTAAAATATCAGTGAGAAAATAGAAAGAAGATGGAACCATCAGGACAAAAAAAAAAATGAGAGAGGAAGGAACAGAGGATACCGATGTCAATTCAACTGTAAAAGTCTAAGTCGATGGAGTGGATACTTGCTTGGTATTACAGCAGAAACTCAAACTTAAGAGCCTACAGAGGGAGATCATGACTGAAAACAAGACAACTCATCCAGAGAAGTCCACAAAGACTCAAAAAATGGGCCAACAGTTACCTTGGAAACCCCTGGAAAGGGGAGGCCTTGAGGTAAAAACAGGAGCACTCGTCATATGTTCAAGTAAAGTGTAGTCCAAAAAACAAACCAAAAAAACCCAAAAACCAACACCAGCTCATAATCTTACATTGTGTGGCCAGCCCTTTCATAAGAGTCAAGAGGTTTTTCCTTTACAGAAAACGGAATCCAGAGGACTAGACTGTGGGGCATCAGGTTACAGACAAGGAGGAGAAAGAGATACGAAGCTCAATCGGGTAAACTATGCAAAATGTGAATAATGAATTTTTAAAAAGCTTCATTCCAAAATATGACTCAAGAACTTTAAAAATTCCATAAAAGGGTTAAAAGAAAAAGTAGGAAATCTTCCAGAAACTACTGAAAATATACATTAAATATAAGAGAGAATGGTTCCAATCTTCACTCCTCACTCTGCCTTCAACCAAAGTGGCTTCACAGGTGTAAACATCATACTTTTCACAAATCAGTCCACTTAAAGAGAAGGTTCTACTGTTGGGGGGTGGGGGAAGCTTTCACCTTACAATGACAGAAATCTAACTTTCAGAATTTCAATCTTATACCAAAATCTGCAGGGAAAATATAGAAATATTATTAACAACACTAAGTAAAGATGATAGTGTCTGGCCCCCAGAATATCACAATTAACTTCAGTTGTGATATGAAAACTGACAGACCATGAAAAATAGAGTAATGGTTCCCAACCTCGTAAAATGTGGAAATTTTATTTAGATACAATTTTAGAAAAAGTCCAAAGGCAGAGCAAACCTGATCATAAAGTAAGGATGAGGCAGCTTCTTCTTCTGCCCGCTTCTTAAACCATCCTTTCCCAACCACCTTCCCCCCCAAGACAGAACAGGCCTTCAAGAAAACACTATGGAAAGGTAAAACCAAAGTAGTAAAATCACTTTATCTGGATTTAAAAGTGCTGTTTCTAAATGTTCACCAAGAAGAAAATTACCACAATATGCACTGCATTGCTTAGAAATCAGTTGCTTCTTTTCAAGGAATCATGAGTTGCCATTATTGAGAAAAACAGGAAAAATTCAAGGTAGTGAAATGCTTTTATCCTAAAACACTATTCCTACTTATAAGAACAAATTGATTTATTATTCCAATGTTATTGACAAACTTCATTCTCTCTGTTTAGGATATTAACAGATTGCTCAAATAAAGACGTTTGACATGGTTTCCCATATACTCTTTTACCTCAAAAACCTTACATGATAATAAAATATTCCAGAATAAGAGAGGCTTAGAAGAGCTATAGCAAGGACAATATAATTACACAAAATATTTCGCCAAGCACTGACATGTTGAGAGCACCTGATTTTCTTTACTAAGTTATATTTTCAAATATTCATTGAATTGTGAACACATTTCACATATAATAATATAATGCTCATCCAAAAATATACAGGATCTGTCCTAACTACAAACAAATGTGTCAAAGAAAAAGTTCATATCACTATTCAAAACCTGAAACATGATATAGTTTAAATATAATGTTCTATGTGAGTTAACTTAGTCTAAACTTCAATTTATTTTAGTTACCTCAATTCTACTAAAAAATACACTATTAAAGTTAGCAACTAAACCAATAGTAAAGTCTTTGTGCTCTTTGCATATCCATAAAGACTAGAAATAAATACATAATTAACCTAAGAAATTCTAATTACAGCATTTTTAGAATTTCAAAATATATAAACTAAAATATTCTTTGAGAGTTACACTGAATCTTCCTACTATTTTTTCACAGTTAAAGAGCTGAGAACATATTATCACTGACCTTTGTAATCATCAGTGTATCAAAGAATTCCTTTCTAATTTCAAGTATAAAAATATAATAATATGGCTCTTATAGATAAAAGAAATAAAGTTTACATGAACACATATTCCTTTACTTTTTACACTAAATATTTTATACAAGATGTTACTTTGCTTTTTTCTGAAGAAAATTCCTACTCACATGTAAAAGAAACCATACTTCACCAAAATCTTGTTGTTCATTGGGGAAATTAAGAATAAGACAGTTAAACAAATGCAGTCAAACATTAAGATCTACCAATGCTAGGTCTGAAAAACACTTTACTCTTACAGAAAAGAAGCTCTTGAACACATATTTAAAATACCAATTTCAAAAAAGCTGGAATGAAATAAGAATAAAGTAGTCAGTAAACATTACAATTTACTATTTTGTGTGCCTGTGCCTTAAGCTTAAAGCATCTTATTTGCTGCGGGTGCTAAAGAATATTATAAAGAAATGATAAAAACACATTAAGTTATTACAACTTTTCTTTTAAAACATAGAGGTTGATTTAAAATAGCAGATCTCTTTTTGTGTTTAACTTCATAAATCAGGTAGGCAAAGGTTTTACAAAAGTAGTCATGGTATTTTTGTCAGAAGTATTTTCATTAATGTTGATAAATATTTGATAGTTTCATTTCATGTCATTAAGAGCATTTTTGAATAAAAAATATTTAATTTAAAATACATTATCTAAATCTTTCCACACTCAAGATACCACTTTGTATTTCTTTGTAACTGCAAAATAATGCAGAATAATCTTTCATACAAGTAAAATAAATATCAATTTGAAGATAAGATAATGCTTAGAATACACTTTTTAAAGAAACATGATAAAATATAATAAAACAGAACTCTAAATTTTCAGGAAAAAAAGGAAATTGCACTTACATCCATAGCTCTTTTAATAAAGGGTATCTGTGTGCCACTGTCCAGATCTTCATTTATAATAAGCCTTCTAGCCCACTGACCTGCCCTGACAACACCACTACCATGAATTAAAACCATCAGTTTCTGTGGATTTGTCAAAGCATCCTCACTCATAAAGATAAAACTCTTTGGTTCACTCTCAATGGCATCTACCTGTAATTAAAAAAATTAAATAATAAATAAATATTTTCTGATCAGGCATATACATAAATATGAAAACAAGTAAAACATTAAAAGCATTATAAAAAATTAAATGGTTACTATAAAATTATAGAAGTAAAAACAGCTTTAACAAATTAAAATATTCAGTAGAGATTAACAATTACACATGAAGTGGATGAGCAAGAGAAGACAGTAATTTAAACACAAAAATATAAAAAAGAACATGAAAATATCTCTCTGTATGTTATTATATATTCAATATTATACATTATCACTATCAATAAAAATAACTATTTTTAGTGCTTCCTAAAGTCTACATGCTAGGCTATCTGTTTTTAAAATATCATCTCATTCAATCACAATTCCATTAAGGTGGTACTATCATTATACTCATTTATAGATGATAAAATTGTGGTTTAGAGAGTTTAAATAAGTTGCCCAAGGTCACACAGCTATTAAGTCTATAATTCCATAATAGAAATATATTGCACCAATAATAAACTCTAGTTAGAGGATGCACCTACTGGAACATCATCTATTAGCCAGAAATACCATTACATTTTTATAGGGAGAAGGGAGGGGAAACTATTTAAATATTCAAACATCTACTGCTCTATCTAAATGGACTTTCAAGTTTCATTCAGATTGTGAACACAAGATTATACAATTATTCTACCAGGCAACATTATTTGTGTACTCTCATAAGCTTACTTTATGTACTATTTACTTAAGGAATAAAAAGTAAATATTCTTCTACTAATATATACATTCCCATATAAAGAAGGTCAATCCACATGCTGTGTAAATGCAATAGATCTCCACTTTGTCAGCTATATTTGATCATGCAATTATAAAAGAAGAAATACACAAAAACTCCAGAAGCCAAAAAATGCCCTGGATTCTAAATATGAGCAGTCACTATACCTGGGAAAAGAAAAGCAAAATAAAATTTCTCTACTTCTAAAACAATCAGATAGGCTTCAGTGATAGATGGCTTAGGCATTTGCACAGAGCACACATGGCAATAATTTTAGCAAGAACATCATGGCCACAAGGCTTAAGAAGAAATACCACCTTCTAACTGAAGCCCACCCTTACTACTCCATTTAAAATTTCAAACATATGCCCAAGAATTATCCTAGTCCTCTTCCATGTTTTATTTTTTTCCATAGCACATACCATGATCTAAGATTGTATGCATTATTTTATTTTTTAGAGACAGGATCTCACTCTACCGCCCATGCTGGAGCACAGTGGCATGATCATAGCTCACAGCCTCAACCTCCTGTGCTCAAGGGATCCTGACGCCTCAGTCTCCCAAATAGCTGGGAGTACAAACATGCACCAACAGGCTCACCTAATTTCTTTTTTTTTTTTTTTTTAATTTTCTTAAGAGATGAGGTTTCACTCTGTTGCCCAGGCTGGTCTCAAACGCCTCACCTCAAGGGATCCTCCCATTTCAGTCTCCCGAGTGCTGGGATTACAGGTGTAAGCCACCATGCCTAGCTTATGCATTACTTTATGCACTTGTATACATATTTGTTTAATCACTGTCTGCTCCCTACACTAGAATGTAAATTCAGGAAAGCACAAGGTTCTCCATTTTGTATCCAGCCACAGACCTAGTACCTAGAATAGAGCCTGGTACATTGTGATCACTCAGTACAGAAAGAAATGAATAAATTTTTAGAATGAGAAATCTTATCAGGCATTCCAGTGGCTGCCTTTAGATAAAAAGCATTTAACTAAGTAATGCATCCTCTACGATGGTTATAATACTTGCCTGATTCAGAAAGCAGATATTGAAGATTAAACGAATGTATAGTTATATATAATTTTAAAAGAGCTATACAATATTAAGAATTGAAATGATAAAACTGCAACTTTATTAGTAGTAATGAAAAATATAAGAAGAGAGGTATAAATGTAGCGCAATCTCATTAGCTTCAACAGCATGCTATGTCCAAAGTAAGCAAACTATAATGATGATAACGAATATGACAGAAGCAACACAAGATGAGACACGGATGAGAGACAGAGGAAACCCAAACCTAAGAAGAAAAGTTCCCTTTTTACCTAGGAGCATTATATGAAAACAGAAGAATCACTCAGTGGAAGGAAGGGAGGGAAGGAGAGAGGAAGGGGAGAGAGAAAATGGTGATAAGAACAAAAAAATTTAACAGGCAAAGCTGTCAATGTACAATAAAAAAAAAAAGAAGCCACAGGGATTTCTCTATTCAATTACCAAAGAATATATACATCTAAATATGCATACAGAAAGTGCCTCTTAAAGTCAGGGAGGCCTTAATGAATCCTGGAATGGCTATGGAAATGGACATCTATTTACCTTAATGAAAAAACCTGTAGTTATAGACTTTCCACTAGGTGCTGATCACTATCTCTTTCTTCCTATTTGACTAAGTCCCCTGTTACCAAGGAACTGAGTCAATTTTTTAAGCAATGGAATGTTGCCATTTTGAATCCCAGAGTGTTTGCTTTAAAACTGAGGGTGCTTATTTTCAGAAGATAAAAATGTATTTTTCATAGTATAATGCAGTTGAAGAGTTTTTAAGGGCCTATAAATTAAGGTAGCAAGAATAAATGAGTAAAAGTTTTCACTTAAACAGCCATAAAAGTTGACTTTGCAAATATAAGACTATTAGAATATTCAAGAAAATAACAAGAAAAAATTTAAAAAGGAATAATGTTAATGATGATTAATGGGTAAGAGCAATATTTGAACTGGTCATTAGCTAATATTCACCTCAATCTAACACAGAACTCTAGACTCTGCACATTGAAACTACAACTTACTCTATATAAAGTTAGTACTAATTTTAAACAAATATCTACATGAATAAAATAAATTTTTCTTCACCCATCTAATTAGGTTTGGACATATGGATTTCTGAGGCCATTTATCTTCAAACAGTGGTAATTCATTAAGCTATGCTCATTAAAAAATACATACAGGCCGGGCTCGGTGGCTCAGCCTGTAATCCCAGAACTTTGGGAGGCCGAGGTGAGTGGATTGCCTGAGCCCAAGAGTTCGAGACCTGCCTGGGTAACTTGGTGAGACCTCATCTCTACAATAAATCAAAAATTAGCCGGGCGTGGTAGCGAGTGCCGTAGTTCCAGCTACTCAGAAGGCTGAGGCGGAAGGATCACTGGTGCCCAGCAGGTCGAGGCTGTGGTGGCTGTGAGCGGCCACTGCACTCCAGTCTAGGTGACAGAGTGAGACTCCAACTCAAAAAAAAATACATACAAAAATCATTCCAATGAACTACCTCACTTCATTGACAAATCAACTTCAGACACCATTTGGTCAGTGAGACTGCATTAGTCACTTTTCAGCAATTAATTCATTTTGGGATACTTGTGAACACTACTAATTGTGATGCTTTACTTAAGCAAGATGTATGTAATAAGCTAAATAAAAATTTGTAGTCAAGTTTTTAATTCATGTATCCAATATTCTAAACAAGTATAAAACATTACAGCTGAGAATACTTTGTGCCTGTTTATGTGTCATGTGGAGTAAACATAAGACATGACCATGATCTTTATCATCAAATCACTGGACTGCACAAAGTTCTGTCATTAAAAAAGGGAGAAGGATTTCTTTTAATATCATTTAACTACATAACTAAAACTTAATTCATCATCAGGGAAAAACTTTGAGGGTATTTTGCTCAGTAAAAAGAACAACTCTTTATAAAAAATGAAAAAGAAAATCACAACCATATAAAACTTGTGATAATTTAAGAAGAGATATCAATTTCCTAAAACAAAGTTTAGAGTTTTTTTTAAGTTTAAAAAATAGGTGAGGCTTGGTGGCTCAGCCAGTAATTCCAGCACCTTGGGAGGCTGAGGCAAGTGGATTGCCTGAGGCCACAGGTTCGAGACCAGCCCAGGCAACTTGGCAATACTGCCTCTCTACAATAAATTAAAAAAAAATTTGCCGGGCATGGTAGCATATGCCTGTAGTTCCAGCTACTTGGAAGGCTGAGGTGGAAGGATTGTGAGAGCCCAGCAGGTTGACGCTGGGGTGGCTGTGAGCATGACACTGCATTCCAGCTTGGGTGACAGAATAAAACTCCAACTCAAAAAATAAATAAGTAAATAAAGGAAACTTGATTAACCAAAAATGGACATGATGCTTATCTATTTTAAGGTCCATACAAAACAAACTTCTCTTGCTTACTAGCTTTATAGTCTAAATTTAAAATGACAGGATAATATATCTATAACACAAAGTTTTCATATATCTAATCTCATATTTTCTACAAAGAAGAAAACTGAAACTCAATCATCTAACATGATCTATACAGTCAATTATCGTGTGATTTTTTATGGGAAAATTGGGGTTGAAGTGAGTTTAAGGGTTTCATGGAACTGGAAGTATTATAGACTCAATATCAATTGTGTTGTATCAATGAGTTAACCCAAATCTATTTAAATGTCATTCTTCAGAAACTCTGAAAGAAATGAAATTAACATGAAAGGAAGACTAAACAAAGTGACAAAACTCTACTCTTACTTTCTGGAAGACCAGATTCAATATATAGTTCTAGTCAAGTGCTAGACCTGAAGTCAAAACTAAAATAAGAATTTTGAATCCAAAAAAGACTAGCATATTCATTTCCAAAAAGGTACTAAAATCTTGGCTTTCATGTATTTCTAAAGGAGGAAAAGTTTCCATATAAACCAAGGATTGACCTAGCTATTACATAAAATAATGTTTTATTCACTAAACCATCATAAACACTAGGAACAATGTCCAGCTCTTAGAGGCACTTAAATAAATATTTGTTGAATGAATAGTTACTAACAATATGACATAGCACTGAAGGTTACTTATAGAAAATTAAATATAAAGTAGATTTCTTTTTTATAAAGAACTTCGGAATCAATTCTGGAAAGCGACAGTATTAAGAATTCCTCAAATCCTCCAATTTATAATAGAAAAACATTACCCAAGGAATTTCAAAATCTCATGCAAAAGAAATTATCTATATGCAAAATTTTGTGCCTTAAATGAATTATTTTCATCAAGTCTTCCAGAGAATCTTATATATCACACAAAACCATAGAGTTGTCAGGGACAGCAAAGATCATCTAATCTAGTCCAACCACCATTTCATACATATGATTAGGATGTCTTTATTTGAAAGCTTAATATTTACTGTTTTACATTTAAAAAAACAGGGGTCTGTAGGGTTTTGTTTTTTTTTTTTTTTTTGAGAATTTGAGTCTGAGAATATATCGCAAACTTTTTCACTCTGAAGTGGCAAAATGTGCAAAATTCAAAAAAAGTGTTCTGCCAAAAAGGGAAGGAGCAGTGTTATGAAACAGGAAACACCAGGAATGAATTTGGGAACGTGTAGAGGAAACATGTTATGTGTAGAAATAAAACATATTTTTCAAAAATCAAGAAATATTTAAAGAGACAGTAAATGTCTACTGTAACAAAAATGTAGTAGTTTACTTCAAACAAATAAAAAAAATTATTCCAGTGAAATGAGAAAGAGCAGAGGAAAGGGTAATCCTTTTAACTGTAATATCATTTTTTAAAAAGATGGAAAATCAGTATTTTTTTCTTTACACTGAAGAGTATTACTTTATAAGAACTACCATGCAAAATGAGATTAGATATATTGGCAAGCATTTAAAATTATCTTTATCAATATCAACACACTAGAATCTTATTACAGTTAAACTAAAACAAAAGTTTTCTTATGAATTAAAAACTATTTTACTGGGAAATAAATATTTCACTTGGAAGAAACATTTTTTACAAATGGACTTACTGGAATAGAGATTTTTTTCAAATTACAGTCCTTTTCCAGGAGCTCATATACATACTTCGTGATGATCTAAGTAGGAAAGAAATAACACATTAAGATGCAATGCCATCCACTATCAAAATTGACATAAATTTTGGCAAATTATTGCAAGTTATTGTTCTGAGTGAATATCTCTTCATCTTGGAATGTGTTGATACTATATTAAGAGATGCCTTACTGATTAGCCATAATGATTTACTTTCTGTTGCTGTGTGAATAAATATGGACCTTTGTACTGAGGACTAAGCCCAGTTAATATAAACTTACAAAAATATATATGATTTTCTCTTTTGCAAGGGAATACTAAAAGCTTATTTTCTTTTTTCAGTATTTCTAGAATATGTTTCCCCTGTAATTTTCCCATAGGTATTATATCTAATTCAATACCTTAGTGACTCTGAATCTCAATATCTCTTTTGTCTTCACCAAATCAAGGAGGAAAAGGTCAGAATTATTCAAAACAGAAAAGGAAAATTGATGTAGAAGGCCAGGGACCAGTCAGTAGCATGGTTTGTGCTAGACAGAAACAGGGTACCCCAAAGATATCCACATCCTAATTCCTGGTACCTGTGAATATGTTATGCTACAAGTTAAAAGGACCAAAAGGTATGATTCTGGATTATCTGAGTGGGTTCAATCTAATCGTATGTCTTTAAAAGTAGATTACAGAAGAACAGTATATCAGAGAGAGATGCAAAGTGAGGACTCAATGGCTGTTGCAGGTTTTCAAGGTGGAAGAAGGAGACTGCAAGTCAAGAAATGTAGTAGCCTTTGGAAGGTGGAATCACTTTTCACTTGTAGTCAGTGAGAAAATGAGACCTCAGTTCTACAGCTGCCAGAAACTGAATTCTGCCAATAGTCCAAATTAGTAGTAAACAAATTCTTGCCCAGAGTCCTAAACATCCTGTCCATACCTTCATTTTAGTCTGGTGAGACTCATACTAGACTTCTGATCTGAAGAACTGTGTGTTGTTTTAATAAATTTGTGTTGATTCAAGCCACCAACTGTATAATAAATTGTTACAGCATCAACAGAAAATTAATACACTATTTCTATTAAGGAAGGCAAAGAGCGAAGAAAGAAGCATCTGGAATAAAAGCAAATATTTAACAGGTTGTACTCATGGCCATTTTAGGGAGTGTTTCTCCAGCCCAAAAATGTCTTAAGTTCTCTATGCAAAATACCTCAGAGAATAATTTTAGCAGCAACATAATTAAAAGTCAAATTTTATGAAACAAAATCAGAGGATGATTTTTTTTTAGAAAATTAAGATGTCAATTGCTTTAGTGCTGTATTCCGTAATCTAAAATAGATTCTTTATCCTGCTTTCTTCAAGGAGTCCAAAATTCTTTCTTCTATATGTATTCATTTGATTTTAGAAGCAGTATATTAGAAGTATGCTAGAACAGCTTTATCTTGACTGGTAATGATAATTTCAAAAGCTATGCCACTACATTAGAACTCTCAGTAATACACTGTTAGTTATCTAATAGCATTCCCATATTTCAACATAGTTAAAATTGTGCTTACTATACCTTCATTGGAAGGTTGTGGTACTATTGTAGATGTAAAAAAGTAAACTAAAAATATGTAGGTTCAGATTGAACATAAGTATAAAGCTATATAATGACCTGCTACTTTAAGAGAAATGGATTAACTAAAGATTAGCTAAAATGAGTGGTTTAACATTTCTGAAATTTCCTACAATCTATGAAATCATAAATATACTTACATTTAAGCAACAACAAAATCAATCATACTTAACTCAAACTCAAATAAATTTGAATACTACAAATATTTAAGCGAAATAATTTGAGAATTAAAAAAAAACTATTTTGGCAGTCATACCTTATGCTAATATGAAATACAGTATTAAAGTTGCTTTTTGATGTTCATACTACAGGTTAATACAAAACAATAACACTCAAAAACTGCTTATATCTAGCTTTGAAATACAGTATAGGGCAAGTGTATGTTCTGGAATTTTCAACACATCAAACCCAATAATAAAGCCATATGTTAAGTAAGCACTGGAGAAACACACCTAACTTGCCTAATTTGCCTGCTCTCCAATTTCTGACTGGCAGAAAAAAGCAACCACAAACAAAACTATCTATCTTTAGGCAATCCTCACTATTTATAATGTGTTCCAAAGCCCTAGTCATTCTCCAAGAGACAGATCACATGTCAACTGTCTCAGGAAACTTTCATTGCCTCACCCCAATTCTCCAAGGTGGAGCATAGTGTCCCACCTCTGATCTCCTCTGGACAGAACTGAATATCATTATCTAATAAACTAGTTTGATATCATTTACATATCTATTACCCAACTACTCCTAGAACCCTATTATTTGGGTCTTCTATCTTATTGCATTTTGTATTCACAGAATACAATCCAGCACACTGAAGGTGCTTTAAAATAGCATACAATGAGGTGAGTGGATTGCCTGAGCCCACGGGTTCGAGACCCGCCTGGGCAACTTGGCAAGACCTCATCTCTACAATAAATCAAAAATTAGCCGGGTGTGGTAGCGCGCGCCTGTAGTTCCAGCTACTTGGAGGGTTGAGGCGGAAGGATCGCCGGAGCGCAGCAGGTCCAGGCTGCGATGGCCAGGAGCAGCCACTGCACTCCAGTCTGGGTGACAGAGTGAGACTCCAACTCAAAAATAAAATAAAATGAAATAGCATACAAATTCTCCTCTCTGTCCATCTTGTCAACATCTTTTGAGTAACATAAACTTTTCAGATTTTTTAAAACATTTTCTAATTGCTGAATCAAGGCATAAGAAGAAAGCATCAAGGACTCATTCACTGCCTTCCAGACTGCATAGGATTGCAATCTGCATTTAGAAAAATCACAAAATGAAAAGATAATTTCAAAAAGGAGATGAAAAATCACTTCTGTCCAAATGTCACCTATTTCAAATATTCACTGAAAACTGTTCATAGATGGAAAAGAAAAGGTTTAAGAGACTAAACATGCTCTAAAATTATATCTTCATTCTAATAAGAAACACAGGAATTTCTGTTTTCTGGTTTAGTGTATAAATAGTTTGCAAGTAGTCACTACTGACCTTACAAAAACAAAAATGCTGAATAAACTAAAAGTCAACAACTGTTATTAAATCCATCATATAACTAAGGTCAGAGGGAAAACTGCTGCCCTGAAAACTAGAAAGACAGACAAGCAGATACAGAGAATCCATTTACAGGGAGCAAAAGCCCAGGAGTAAAAGCCCTCAGCAGAAGCCAGTACTGAGTTATAAACACCTTGAACTGGGAGCTGGGAGTGTATAGACTAGCTTGAGAGTTAAAAATTAGAAAGCCTAAACCTTTAAAAGGGGTAGGGAAGACAGACTTTTCTGAGTTTTACTTCCTGGAGCCCTACTGTGTTCTCACTGTGAAAACTACAGAAAACGGCCCTCCTGTTTCTGGCAAAGGAAAGGAAAAAGTAACCATTTTGAAATCCTCTAGCACTCTCTGTTGCCCTTCATATTGGCTGAAATAGTTCAAGAGAAATTATTTTACCAGAGCACAACTGACTGGTGTAAGGGAAATGCTCAATTCAGGCTCACTAAAAAACTAAGATCTAATCAAAGGACTATACAATGTCTCCTCATCTGCCCCAAATTACTACTATATCAACAGGGCTGATATAGTATGATACCTGTAAAATACTAGAGGATTACAGCTAAAATAGCTGTAAGAGTCACAGCCTTTTTAAGGTCTCTAGGAAAACCAAAACATAACTCAGGAGACAAATATAAGTAACCTAGAAGAATTTTAGCTGTTGACACCAGCTAAAGCAAATAGTAAGCAAAGCCCACATCCTAGACAGATAAACATAAAATCTCATACTAAAGATCTATCTACCTCAGTTCCTTTTAACTGTTATGTCACACTTTCAACAAAAAAGTTACCAGGCATGCTAAAAGGCAAAAATAAACAAACAAAAACCCACAGTCTGAAGAGACAAACCAAGTATCAGAATCAGACTCAGATATGCCAGAGATATTGGAATTACAAGACTGGAAACTTAAAACTCTAATTAATATGCTAAAGGCTTTATTGGGAAAAGCTGACAACATATAAGAACAGATGGATAAAGTAAGTAGATACATGGAAACTCTAAGACACAATAAAAAAGAAATGCTAGACCAAAACCACTGTAACAAAAATATCAGTAAACTGGATAAGGCCAAGGAAAGAATCAGTGGGCTTGATGATAAGTCAACAGAAACTCCCAAAACTTAAATGCAAAGAGAAAACAAGAATGAAAAGACAGAACAAAACATAAGAGAATTATGGGACAACTCCCAAACTACAAAAAAAAAAGTTATTTTAGAAAGAAGTAAAATGATTTAGGGTCCGAAATTTGCATCAACTAAAAGAAGAGTGTTAGGGAACAAAGAATTGAAGGTAAAATAAAATCTTCTATTTTTCTTATTCTTAACTACTTAACAAATAACAGTTTGTTAAAATAATAACAGCAACTGTGTATTTGATGATTATACTTTATAAAGAAGTGAAATGAATGACAACAATGTTATAAGTGACAAGACCGAACTGAGAATACTCTGTTATAAGGTATTTGTACTACAGGTGAAGAGATCTGATGTTATTTGAAAGAAACACTGGAAAGAAAAATTTGCTGGTAATTTTCCTGGATTTCTTCTGATTCCTAAGAAGCAGCCATATAAATAAAATCAAATAAATCTACAATGTAGGAGACAGGGAAATAATTTTGAAATTATATATTCATTAGCTAAATCCCATGGCTAACAATAGAGTAACACCCTCTATATTAGTCTTATTCAGTTTTTTGTAGCTCGGGGTTCTCCATTTACTGATTAAAAGATACTTTAAAAAGAACAGTAGGGTGATCAAAGAAATCACTTACTTCTCAATAGAGTTTTTCCAACAGAAAGGGTATATTTCCCTGCTATGAATTTATTTTTGACATTTATTAAACACTTGTTAGGTGCTTATTATGTTCCTCATTTATCTCTGCATTACTTCTGGTCCTTAA